CTATAAAATGGGGGCTCAGTGGTTAAGTTGCTCTTCCAGAGGACCCAGGTTCAATTCTGAGCACCCACATGGCAGCTCACAACTCTCTAACTCCAGTTTTAAGGGATATGATACCCTCATACAGGCATACAAGCAAACAAAAGGGAAAAAAAGTCAGATTTAAAAGTGCTATAAAATGAGTTTATCCCAAATAGTAAGCCTTGACTTTCCAGTGACACACTGGTGGAGACTCCACCTCCATGCTCTATGTTGAAATGTCACATGTGTACATGTTGGTACATACCTACATGTTCACAGCCTCTCCCATACACCAGTTCGCCCTCATGCTGCTATAGGTAGTGTGGATAGAGCAAACCGAGCCCTTGGGACTGGGTTCCATCCTTTGTCTCTGTCTCATTCCTCAACGGGGAGATAGGAATATATATTTTTTTTTCTTTCATTCATACACACACACATCATAGTAGGTAGGTTTTCACACTGGTAACAGAACAGAAGCCAGTGTTTTCCAGCAAGTGGAGAAAAACTTTCTTTGCCTTGCTCTGTGACTGACCTCATAAGACAGCTGTAGCCAAGCCCACGCTTGTTCCTGTTAGAGCCTTGGCCAGGCCTCTGCTATTAGACAAGGAACATTTCTCATGCTGAAGGTATGCACTGTACCCCTGTGTGAGCACAGACACAGGAAGGAGCCTGGGGTATAGTCATGCAGCCCCGATCCAGGGAGTCTTGTTCCATTTACTTGGTATGCACTGTACCCCTGTGTGAGCACAGACACAGGAAGGAGCCTGGGGTATAGTCATGCAGCCCCGATCCAGGGAGTCTTGTCCCATTTACTTGGTAAAAGTCCACATGAAGGCCTGTCTTCTTTTTTAGGGTAAATGAGGGATTTTGATATGGTGGTGAGACTTGGCTGCTTATAGCCCAGGTTCATCTCCAACTCACTGTGTGGTAGGTCCTGCCTCCTAAGTGCTGAGGTTATACATGTCTACCACACATACACCCCACCAAAGGCCTGCCATCTTTAAATCACAGCATTCTTAATAGTAAATTTAGTACCTGTTTATTTGTGACAGTCTTGAATCAAGTAGACTACAGTCAGGCCACCAGCTTTTGAACCCACGTCTCACTACATTAAGTGTCCTTTTGGAGAGTGTCATAACTGTGCCCATTCTTTAGGTTCTCCTGTGTGTTCCCGGTGTTGCCACAGTGCCTAAGCTCAGAGCTGCCGCTGTCGTGTATGCTACTAGCTGTTGAGCTGCTCTCCGTTCTGGTGGACCACGACAGCCTTGCACAGCAGCTGTGCTCCCACTCAGGTAAGAGACCAGAACGGGTCTCAACTGTCCTATAGTGGGGGAGAGGGATTGTGGTGGGGACAGAGTCAGAGCCCCTCAAGGGCTTCTGTACTTGTACCCCAGGCTACAATGAAAAGGGGGACTCTGAATGAGACCTGGCATCCTTTTCAGAAGGCTGCCTTCTCCTGAGGCTGTACATGTACATTACATCAAGGCCTGACAAAATGGCCTCAGAGACACAGTGGCTTCAGCTGGAACAAGAGGTAAGACTCTCAGATGCTGCTCACCCTTCACCCCTTCCCAAGAGCCCAGGGTCCCCTTCCCTCTTGTGGGAAAATACAAGCTACAATTCATTTTGGCCAGTTTGTCAGACAGCAACAGGTAAAATGTAGCGGCTGCTCACGTGGATGCAATACAGAAGCATTCTGGGTTGGTGCTCAGCAGAGTTGCCTGATAATGCTGCCCAGGCTTTGGGGCCTGATCCTGGTCCTGGAAGCAGTAAGCTGTTGCTGAGATTCATGTCTGGAAGCCTGAGACTACCACTTGTACTCCACTTGTACAGCCAAACAGTTGTAGACATAGCTAGATCACCTCAGAAATGCCTGCGAAAGCCCTGTGACAACCGTCTACACAGGATGAATACCATCTCTTCTTGTTCCAGGTAGTATGGCTCTTGGCCAAGCTGAGTGTGCAGAGCCCTTCCCCACCTGGCATTGGGTCTGACTGTCAGTGCAACGTAGAGGTGAGGGGCCAGAGGCCAACATCATGGTCGCTCGGTTGGTTAAGGGCAATCCTGTTTCCCTTGAAGTGGTGAGGTGAGTAAGTCACTGGACCTCAGGCTGTGCCCTCTCTCTCTCTCACCCTAGGCAGTCAGAGCTCTCACGGTGATGTTGCACAGGCAATGGCTGACTGTGCGGCGGGCAGGGGGTCCAAGGACCCACCAGCAGAAGCAGACGGTACGCTGTCTGCGGGACACTGTGCTGCTGCTGCATAGCCTGTCTCAGAAGGACAAGCTCTTCACTGTGCATTGTGTCGAGGTCCTGCATCAGTACGACCAGGTGATGCCAGGAGTCAGCACGCTGATTCGAGCCCTTCCTGATGTGACTGACTGTGAAGGTAAGCTAGCAAAAGACTCTGTCCTAGCCTTCACGTGCCTCTGCCTGAGGCTCATGAAAAAGTCAAACTCCTTTGCTGGACTTCCGTGAGTCTTCTTCTCTTGCCTCCAGAGCCATTCCTGGCAACGTGGGCATTACCTTCCTGCTCTGGGTCTTTGAGTATGATAGGTTCCCATTTGATCATGTCCACTGAATTGGCCTAGCTGAGCCATGGTTTTTCCACAAAGATCTGTTGGAATTGCTTTTGTATCACTTTTGCTCACAGTAGCTGAGGGAGCAAAGCCTGAGCATGGAAGGGACTGGTTAGTTCCTGTGACGCTAGGGGAGCGTGGGGAGGCCTCCAGGCCCCAGCACCATCAGTTAACCTCAGAACGCTCTTCCTTTTGGCTTAGAGGCTGCCCTGGATGACCTCTGTGCTGCAGAGACTGATTTGGAAGACTCTGAGATGGACTGTAGCTGAGGGCCCGAGCATCCGGCCACAAGGTGGCACCAGCTCCCACTGCTGTCTGCCATATCCACTGATTAAAAGTGCACTTCCTGCTGAGAACACAAGCTTTGTTTCCCGAGTCCAGTTTGTGTGGCTGAGGGGGAGGGACAGAGCAGACTAGGAACTTGCTTGATTAGGTGACTCTCCCAGCTGGAGTTGAGATGGTCCCCATGGTAACTGCTCTGCCCTGAGGAAAACCCTGCCCCTCTTCGGGAATTACCCTGAGTCATAGCTTTGGGCTGGGGCCATGGTGGGGAAAAACTTGTGTAGCCGAGGAGACAGCCCTTTTTAGGAAGGCCTGGATCAGGGACTGGGGGAAAGGCAAGGAATGGCAGAGACACACAGGCATGTTTGAATCCTGGAGATAACCCAGTTTAAGTCAGCTGTCAGCGCGGGGCAGTAGTCCATTTTACCAGCCAGCAGGGTCACAGATATGGATCTTGGAAGGCCTTTGGGGTACTTAGGGAGGGAGGGAGGGAGGAGCTAGCGGGAGGGCCAGGCCTGGCAGGCTAACTAGCAGGGCGGGCCCTGTTCAGGAGGCAGGCCTATGGGTGGACCCAGGCAGTTTTACTTCCTGAGCCACTGCTGCCAGCAGCCAGAGCCACCGGAGTGTCTTGCTGCCTGTTTCTCAGTAAGTGTGGGTTAAGGGTATGGGGTAAGGCAGAAGAGGATAGGTTTCCCTCACCCAGAAGGTGGTCAGCACTAGGGGAAGGGCCTCCCTCAAAAGGACAGTAAGTAGTGTAGCCATCCCACTAGGAGAACAACCCTACGATCCAGCTTCTAGTGGCCCTGGATAGCACCTGCTGAAGGGAAGAGCTGAGCTGTGTTTCTGCCCATGCTACACCCCACCCCAGCCCACTTTAGACTTTCCTGCTGCTACTCATTACCCTATCTCGTCCCCAGGCTCAGCATGGGCTCAAAGGCCCTGCCCCACGGTCACATGCAGACCCTCATCTTCTTAGACCTGGAAGCCACTGGCCTGCCTTTGTCTCAGCCCAAAGTCACAGAGCTGTGCCTGCTGGCTGTCCACAGACATGCCCTGGAGAACAGCTCCATTTCTGGGGGGCAGCCATCTCCAGTGCCCAAGCCACCCCGTGTGGCGGACAAGCTCTCTCTCTGCATTGCTCCAGGGAAAGCTTGTAGCTCTGTAGCCAGTAAGATCACAGGTCTGAGCACAGCTGAGCTGGAAGCACACAGGCGTCAACGCTTCGATGACAATCTGGCCAACCTGCTCCGAGCCTTCCTACAGCGCCAGCCACAGCCCTGCTGCCTTGTGGCACACAACGGCGACCGCTATGACTTTCCTCTGCTCCAGGCAGAGTTTGCTTTGCTGAGCATTACCAGTCCTCTAGATGGCACCTTCTGTGTGGATAGCATGGCTGCCCTAAAGGCCTTGGAACAAGCTAGCAGCCCCTCAGAGCATGGTCCGAGGAAAAGCTACAGCCTGGGCAACCTCTACACCCGCCTGTATGGGCAAGCACCGACGGACTCACACACTGCTGAAGGCGACGTTCTAGCCCTGCTCAGCATCTGTCAGTGGAAGCCGCAGGCCCTACTACAGTGGGTGGACAAGCATGCCCGGCCCTTCAGCACCATCAAGCCCATGTATGGCACTAGAGGTACCACTGGAACAACCAACCTAAGGCCACATGCTGCCACAACCACTACACCCCTGGCCACAGCCAACGTAAGTCTCAGCAATGGCAGGAGCAGGCAACCTGAGAATCCTCCTCCAGAGGAGGTCCCAGAACCCCCATCACAGGAGGGGCTACTGGCCCCACTGGGCCTGCTGACCTCCCTGACCTTGGCAATAGCCATTCTGTATGGACTCTTCCTGGCCACACCTGGGCAGTAAGTCAAGAGGGAAAATGATTAATAAAGACTACCATAGCACGAACTGCTTGCCGCCTCTGCTTCTCAGCCTGGGCCTCTGGCCATAGTCAGGCCCTAGGGATGAGGTACAGTTCTCTCCAGCTCTTTTAGCAGGACAATCAAACCTGTTAGGCTAATTAACATAGGGAAGACACACAAGTTCAAGAGGTAGACAGAAATAGTTTTTGGTGCACAGCCAAGGCCAGCCGCCCAGGCTCTGAAGAAAGGGGAAGTGGGTCCAAATGTTGCCTTTATTTTTATTATAAACGAAGGTACAGAGTCTGAATGCTCAGAAACACCAATCAAAACAAAGCTAAAACAGCCAGTAGAACAAGAGCCAAAAGGGAATATGGAGGTATTCACATCTGGGCCAGAGCTACCATCCAGGCCCTCCACCCCCACTTTTGGTCCAGATAACCCCTTGGCCCCGGTACCCTGCCACTGGGACAAACTGGACTGTGGTACAGGAGTCAGGTATTCTATAAAGCTGGTGTCAAGGGAAACCGACTGTCAGAGGTCAGGTTATCTGTCCTCTGGGAACCAGGGATTTCAACCTCACACCAGTTATCACACATCTGGAGACAGAAAACAGGCAAAATGTTTGGCTAACAGTAAAAAGACAGTGCAAGGAGAAACCAGAGTGTGACAGAGTAGACAGAGGCCCCTGGCCCGTAGCAGGAGCCAGGCCAGCAAAGGCAGGAAAGCTTCCCCACTGGGGCCTGAATAGTGAATACATGTGGCCTCTACATAGTCCTGGGAAAGACAGTGGGACAGTCCAGACAGACAAGTGAAGGAGAACGGATGGGGCTCTGCCAGGTGTGCCTCAACATCAGTTGCTGCCACTGAGGCCCCTTGTTCTCTGCCCAGCTACCTGCCTCACTGCAAATGCAGCCAAGCCCCGGGAATAAGCCCCTAGCAGCAGCTAGCCGATTACTCCCCAAATCAGGACATGTACCCACAAAAAGCTTGCTCTCCTAAGTGTGACTGACAGGCCATGTCTGGTCACCTTGGGGTGACATGGGAAATACCTCCTTATTGTTTTTAATTTACTTGAAATTTCAGAAAGTACAATTTCAAGTGAGGAAGAAAACAGGTTAGTCCCGACCTGCACTGGTAAGATTTGTGCCTACCTGGTCAACAGCAGAGGAAGCCACATGTCTAGACAAGGCACACACACCACAGATAGCAGTAAAGAACTGTGCATATCACTCACACATGACAGAATGGCAGTCAAAGAGGACAGGGTCAGGCTCAGGCCTTTGGGGGATCCATGTAGGCTGGGTTGTATGGAGGCTGGCTGGCTCCTGAAAGGAGAGGGGACACAGGTTAGCTGTGGGGACACTGCAAGGTAAGCAGGCAGGCAAGCTAGGAGGAAAGGACCCTAGGAGCAGAGGCATGAGTCGGGGGACCATACAGGGTTCCTGAATCCACAATGATACTCACCAGCCAAGGACTCATGATAGGCTGGCGGCCCTGCGGGCTGAGCCAGGTAGGGTGGTGGGTACTGCGTCGGGTAAGGTGCTGCTGGCATTCCTGGCTGGGGGGGCATGGGATGGTAGCCCTGGTATGTTGGTCCAGGATAGCTGGGGGCCACAGGCTGAGGCTGAGGGTAAGGGGTGTGAACCACGGTAGTAGTTGTGGTGTTGGTCACGACAGCTGCAACGAGAATCCTGATTAGTCAAAACCTTATGGCTCCCTAGGTCAGAAGAGGCAAGGCCTACCCCTCCCGCTTAGTCAAAACAGGTTCCTGGTCATCAAACTGGAAGGGGCATGGGTGGACCAGGTGGGTAAGGGCAAGCTTACGGCGGCGTGAGGGGCAGCACATCTTATACAGACAGCAGCAGGAGCAGGTAAAACATATGATGATAGTAGCAATAAACACCACAAAGACGGTCACGCCGATGGCAACGGTCGCTCCGAACCTGCCAAAAAGCCAGTGTAACCACCTTTCACTTCTCCTTTGACCAGCCACCCGCATGTCACCTGTTCCCAGAGAACCCCTTTTGGCAAAAGACTCTTAAGAAACTCCCCAGTTGTTTGGTATGAGTCTGTTACAGCCCCAGATTCCTCATGAATACAACGGGGCTGCTCTTTGTGAATTTATGTAAAGGCACCCCCCCCCAGGCCGGCTCCCTGTACCCACCTACCTATATACCTGGTCTCTCCCTATCAAGCAACCATGTGGTTGTCAGGCATATGCCACAAGCCAGGCAGGATGGGATTCAAGTCAAGACAGGCTGCTATATGCTGAAGACGGGCAGCTCATACAGGCTGTGTGACATTCCAGGCTACCCCGTGGTTAACAAGCATGGCTCCGTCCAGGGAGGCTAGATGGGAAGCCTCTCTGCCCAACCTGGGCACCCACAGAATAGAAGGTCTGCCCTTTGACAGCACACAGCATAGGCTGGAAATTCACCCAACTTGCTGCCAGTAGCAGACGGAGCCCCCAGCTGTCTTCCCACAGTCCCAGGGCCCGGCTGCATTCTAATAAAAGGCAACTGCAACAGGCGCATTCAAAACCTAACGAAGTTAAAACTCCGGGGCATCTGCCCCTCTGAGATCACAAGGAAGGATGCAAGTGCCACCCCATCCTACCATGAGGCTTTCAGCTCATAACCCAGGGGAGCCCCAAAGCCTTAGCAGGGCCTCTTGGCCAAGGGACAGACTCCCCCACGCTTCAGGCTTCCAAAAGGAGCCTTCACCAAGACAAAACCGTGAGACCATAGGTGCCTCTCCAGCAGTCAGAGGCAGGAAAGGACAAAACACATTCACGAGGTCCGTGCCATGCAGTGGAAGGTTCAGTATCTCTTTGCCTCTATAGAATGTGCCCGCTCACCCCATGTTAGCCTCCGCCTTCACTCAAGGGGCTCCTGCAGCCCGGGACTTCCCCTCTCTTCATCAGGGGCTACTCAGTTTCAATCTCCTCCCTTTTCAAAGAAAAGGAAAGCGAATCTTCTCAGTCTTCCCCGTTCCTGACGTCAGCAGCAGGAAGAAGAGACTCACAGGCCCTGTAGCCACCCTCTTAAAGACACAGCATGATCAAACACCATGGCCAGCACCAGGCCACTGAGAAGGGGCTGGAAGGGGAAGCAGAGGTGACACTTTCCCAACCCTGGGTTCCCAGGCCTCTAAATGCAGCCCAGCCCCAGCCTCTAGGCCTACTCTGCTCACCTGACCCACCCTTCAGAAGCCTGCCTAGGCGGGGCAGGACCCCTGGTTCTGGCTGACACATAAGCAGTTGACTGCCATGGTTCCTCCTCTGCTCCCAAGCCAAGACATAACCCTGCCAGGTCTGATCATGTTTCCCAGTGTTGCTTCTAATGCCTGAGGCTCCCCCAGCCCCTGGAACCACAGGAAGCTGTTTCACAGACTCTAGTGACAGTGTGTGTCCTTACCTTTCTGTGGGTATAGAGTAAGTATAGTTAACAATTAAAATCTAGGGTTTGCCTAACCAGAGAGTAAAACTTTTAAAAAGAATAATAATAAATTAAAAAAATTTAAAAGCCAATTCCAAGCTTTAATTAAAAATTTAGCAGGGTATGCTACCACAAGAGTAATGCCAGAAATCAGGAGGCTGTTGAGGCAGGAGGATTAAGAGTTCTGGGCCAGCCTGAGCAACACAGTGACTTCCAGGCAAGCCTGGACTATACTGAGAAACCCTGTCCCCCAAAAACTCAACAAAAAAATTAGATACTCTTTGCAGGACCCACAAAGCCAGATGGGGCCAAGGATTCACTTCTCCCTTTCTGTCTAGCTAGATCACCAAGCACCACTGCCTCAGGTCTTTGCACACCCAGGTCCTCCTGCTTAGAAGGCCCTCTTCCCCACAGTCCTCACTTTTTTGTTTTGTTTTTGGTTTGGTTTTTTTGGCAAGGTTTCTCTGTGTAACCCTGGCTGTCCTGGAACTCACTCTGTAGACCAGGCTGGCCTCGAACTCAGAAATCCACCTGCCTCTGCCTCCCAAGTGCTGGGATTAAAGGTGTGTGCCACAACTGCCCGGCGAGTCCTCACTTCTACTTAGTAATATCTGTTCTTCTCTCAGACCCCAGCTCAAAGCACCAGTTCAAGGCAACACATTTCTTAACCATGAAAACACCAGACTCTCTGGCTAATGCTATGACAGAATTAAAGTCCTTCCCAGCCTTGTCTACGTTTGAGTTCCATGCCAGCCAGAGCTACATATGAGACCCTGTCTCAAAAACAACAACAAAAACCAAAGTTAAGTACACTGGGGGAAGACATATCCTATGCACAGTATGACACTTGGGGCTTCGCTTTTCCAGACCACTGTTCTGACCTGTGACTCAGAGGGTAAGAACCAGAGAGAAAGGTCAATGGTGGGATATGGGAGCAGAGCTGCTGCACACCTCAGGGCCCAGTATCTTTCCTCTGGGGGCTTCTCTGGGGTCCCAAGCCACTGTCAGGCATCAGGGACTAAGCCCCTACCATGAAATCCACTCTGTAGACAACAGTGCCCTCAGCAGAAAAGCCAGCACATAGGTGTCCAGTGGAGTGTCTCTTTAAGAACGTTTCCTAGAGAAAGGTCGTGGACAACCCTGCCCTCAACCGCCTCCTCTGTGCACAATTCTGAGGCTCTGTAGAATAGGAGAAAAAGAAATCCCAGAAACTCGTTCTTCCTCCTAGCAGCCACCCCTCCCCACTACTTCCAGCTGTCTCCACCCATGGCCAAAGCAGCCTTTCCACACACTGTCAGGCCCCCTGAGAGCTCTCCACGGGGCAGTCCACACACATCACACACTTCCGATTCACTCTTTGATGTGCTATACTGAGTGGCTCGTGCGGAGTATGTCACGCCAGTGTGGGGATACCAACCCCACTTCAGTGTGCTCCACTGCTTCAGACCAGCTGCCTCCTTGCCCTCAACCCCAGCCTTCATCTTGGCCCTCCCTGCCACTGTTCCCCAAATGCTCCTGTCCATCCTCTATAAGTTCTTCCCACCGAAACCTCAAGGCAAGGCCCCTGCACCCCAATCCCCACAATGGCTGTTGTCTACCTGGCATCCCCCTGCAGGGCTGGGTCAAGGAAGTCTGTCTGGCTGTCCATTCTCTCCTTTGTTCCTTAATGGCAGGCAGCTGCTGAACACCACCAACCCATCTCCACCCTACCCTCCCAACACCTCTGGCCAGGAAGCCACAGTCTGAACATCACCAACCCAACTCCACCCTTCCCTCCCAATACCTCTGGCCAGGAAGCCACAGTCTGAACATCACCAACCCACCTCCACCCTTCCCTCTCAACAACACCTCTGGTCAGGAAGTCACAGTCATGCCCAATGGCTGCCTGCCATGCTGACCCATGTGTTCTTTTCCTCTGCGACTTGCTCCGTGGCCATGGATGGTAACAAGACGCCAGTGTAGGAAGGTAACATGGGAGCTCACACCTGTAATTCCAGCAATCAGGAAGCAGAGGCAAGAGGACAACAAATTCTGGACCAGCCCAAAGAACAGAATGAGATCCAGGCTAGCCTGAGCTACAGAGCAAAAGCCTGTTTCACAACAAACAACAAAAACACTTGAGACACAGCTCAGTTAATAGTGCTTGCCTAGGTAAGAGCTAAGTTATTCTGGTCTGTTTTCAGTGTGTTGTGTTCTTAGAGTGCTAAGAGTCACAGAAGACCGGGGCACTAGGCCTTTCCCCCCAGGCTGGCAATCATACCAGTCTTGGCCTTTCCTCTATGCCAGGGCCCTGCCTTGCAGAATCATATATTTAAAGCTGTTTTACTTTCTCTAGTCTCTTGAATTTGTTATTATAGAATGAGGGTCTTGTTTCTTACACCTACAACACAGGAGGCCCCAGGCTCAACCTCCAGGACTGTATGAACTTGGTGACTCACACCTGTAATTCAGTCACTGGGGAGGATCAGATGTCAGCTACATACCAAGTTCAAGGCTAGCCTGGGCTACAAAAGACTTTGTCTCAGGAAGGAAGAGAGGGAGAAAAGGAAGAAAGAAAAGCAGAGCAGGAGCCTGGCCAGTAAGTTTAGGGCTACGAGAGAGAGAGTGTGGGCCTCTGTGAGTAAGGGCAGGAAGACTCACAGGTGCAGTCCCCCTTTATGAAGGTATCATCCTGATCCTGAGACAGAGGCACCAGCCAGCACAGTGACCGAGACCCACAAACCTTCACATGGCAACTGAGGAACTTCTGGCCTCTCAGCACCTTGACTCAACATAACCACCACCTCACTCCCATGACTACAGCAGCACCTCACACTGTTTCCCCATTAGCATAGCCATCATTCTGCCACAGACATTGAACACCCCACTCCCACCATCACCTCACAACGCTGCAGCCTCTACCAACTGTCACTTCCTCTGCAGTTACCTCTACCTATCAGGTACCTACCATGCCACCCCATGCCCCAGGTCAATATGGACGTCACCCCTGGACCTTCAACTATCAGCTCTCTCTCTCCATCATACAGAGGAAACCTGGCTCCCAGGAGGGTCAAAGGTGCCAGCGGGTAAACATGGTCACTACTTCACTGGGACACCATCCCGATGATTCTGTGCCTTCTTAGTACACAGAGGCCACACACACAACCCAAGCCCTCCTGAGCCCTTGTCACTTCTGCCAGGAAAACAGACACAGCCCACAGACTTTATTTACCCTGACATAGGGTCGTCACTGTCAATACTGGATCGAAACCTCAGTGCTGAACCTGGATGTTCCGGTGTCTCCTCCGGGTGGCTGGAAAGTCTGCTAATAGAAAAGAGAAAGCCCGTGAGGAACACCCTCAATCCTCACCCGCACCCCACAGCACACGGCCTCGAGGTACACAGGACATTCCAAGAATGGATAATGTACACACTGGGATGCCACACTTCTTAGGCACACTAAAGCCAATCTATAGGACACAGCACATCTGAGGCCAAGAAACAGCAGATTTCAAACTCTGAGATCTGGAAAGTACCTGCTCTGACCACAACAGGATGAGGGTGGAAACCAAGAGTGAGCGCTACGTTAAAAAAAGTTAAAAACAAAAGAAATACAGGGGGGAGAAAAGACAGCACTTCTTCTGAAAACAACAGTCTGAGTTGAAATCTGTCAAATGCCTGTAATTTCAGCTCTGGAGACTGGCAGAAGGACTGCAAGATCTAAGCCAGCCTGGACCCCATGGCAAGATGCTTTCTGAGGAGGGAAGAGAAGGGAGGAAAAGAAGAAGAGAGACAGAGACACCTTATGGGTTACACAGAACAGAATAAAATAAGGTCAAAGTTTACAAAAAAAAAAAAAAAGAGAGAGAGAGAGAGCCTTGGTAATGCACACCTGCAATTCCAGCCCTCAGGAAGTAGAGGCAGGGGAGTCAGGAGTTAGGGAAAGCCTGGGTCGCAGGAGACCCCGTCCCGAATAAAACAGACAATAGTCAGGACATGGCTTAACTAGTTCTTAGAAAGGAATGGATTTCATTACTAGAATTTATCAAGAAGGACAAAAAATAAGCAAGATACAGTTGGATATGGTAGCTCAGAATCCTAGCACCCAGGAGGCCGAGGCAAAGGACTGTCTAGAATTCAAGCTCCTCTTAGGCTACAGAGTATGTCCCTATATGGGTGTGTGTGTGTATATGTGTGTGTGTGTGTATGTGTGTGTGTATGTGTGTGTGTGTGTGTGTGTGTGTGTGTGTGTGTGTGTGTGTGTGTAAAGCTAGGCACAGTAATACATGGCAGCAAACAGAGGCAGGAAAATCAGAATTCAAGGTTATTCTTGGTTACTTAGCAAGTTCAAAGCCAGCTTCAACTAAACTATAGAAGACTCTTGTAGGGGTGGGTCTGATGCTAAGGTCCTGTTCCCCAATTGGTTCTTGATCTGTCAGTAAAGAGGCCATGGGCCAATTGCTGGGCAGAAGGAATAGGTGAGACTTCTGGGTCCCTGGAGAAAAGGAGAGACACAAGGAGATGGAGACAGAGTTCGCCATGCTTCTGATGGAAAAAAGGAGACCAGCCATGTGAGATCTCGAAACGGAGTGGCCACATAGGCTGCTCCTACAGTTAGGTGGTCACATGTTTAGCAGGGACTAGATGTAACCGGGCAACTAAAGTTTAGGGCAGGTGGGAGATGTGGAGATAAGATTATTGATGAGGGCACAACTTTCCAGGTGGGAGATATGTATCACCCAGCAATTGTGTCAAAAGGCAAGTTGAAATTGAACAACTATGTGTCTGTGTCTTTTATCCGTGGATTCAAGGGAAGCTAGGTGGGAGCTGGTAACGAGCCTGTTCCCAGAGTTAAGGTGGGGTACCAAAAGCTACACGCAACAGAGCCTGTTTCAAAAAAACAAAAATAAAACAAAAACCTACAAACAAACAAACAAAAAATAACAGCAATAAAACTAAAGAAAAGCCGGGCATGGTGATACCTGCACTGGGGCCTGGGGATGACTTTGAGTTCAAGGCCATTCTGGACTACATAACAGTGCATGTTGTGCCTGCAGAGGTCACAAGGGGCACTGGATCCCATAGGACTGGAGCTACAGACAGTTGAGCTGCCAGGTAAGTGCTGGGAACTGAACTGACTCGAAGTCCTCTGGAAGAAGGGTCAGTGCTAACAACTGAGCCATTCCTCCAGCCCCACTTTCTTTCTTAAAAGCAAAGCAAATAAAAATTTATTTTAAAAAACTCTCAAGAGTGGGAAGGGTTCGAAGAAAGGAATATCCCAGACCCTATTTTTTGGTTTGAGGTAGGGTCTCCCTGTTATGTAGTTTTGGCTGTCCTGGAACTTTCTATATAGACCCAAGTTAGCCTTGAACTCATGAGATCCAACTGCCTTTACATCCTCCTGTGTACTGGGATTAAAGGTGTGCACTACCATGCTTGACCCCAGACCCTATCTTAAAAAAAAAAAAAAAATCCAGTGCAAAGTCTTCAGAGAGCAGGGAATAAATGGAGCCGGGGCCCAGTGTGGCTAAGAAGAGATGGTGGAGATAAGCCTGCTACCCAAGTCCTCCTAGTGGCCTTCCTAGTTTCATGGCCGGTCATCTGGGAAGGTGGGCATCATTTCTGGAAGCTTTGGGAGGCCACGGTGGAAATATTAGATCCATAGCCCTCAAAATAAGGAGACCATGATGATTCTATACACTTGGACAGGACCTGAGACATCGTGTCTCACAAGGAAGGGAGAAAAGAATAGAATTCCCTTCTAACCATGAGTCTGCGTACTCAAGCTAACATCCTCTTGGAAATAACATGAATATGAATAGAAATAACAGTGGTATGAATAGAAAACAAGAGTAGTTGACAATAAAAACATCCCCCAGGGTGGGCATAGTGGCACATTAATCCCCATCGGGAGGCAGAGGCAGGAGGATCTCTATGAGTTTAACGATGACCTGGTCTATTATTTGGGTTCTTTTTGCTTTTTTCTGCTGGTCCCTGGCCCTCAAATAGGTGGACTAACTCTGTGATACAACAGATAAATAATTTGGTAGCAAAACCTACTCAGATACATTATCATAAGTTAGCTATGGAGGACCACGAGACTCAAGATGAGGTTGTTACTTTATACAGGGTGTTTCCAAAACCCATCTCCACCCTACCTAAAAGGGGGGACTTCTGCCCCTAGACCAAGCAGAGAGGGGCCACCCAGAACCCCCTCTGACAGGCGATCTGAATTCTTGCTTAGGCTGCGAGGCTAAGCACTGCAAGGGAATATCAATAAAAGATAAAAATATCTATCTGGGTTCCCTGAGGGACAAGCCTGACTGCATAGGGGTTGATGTCAAAAGTATCCCCTCTCCAGGAAAAAGACATCGGGACGGGTATGGCCCTCATGCCTCACTGGACAACGACAGGGGGACTGGAGCCATTACAAGGTCCCCTTCAAATACTGGAGGTCAGGCCTCTATCCCCGCCTTCACAAGTTTAGAATTGCCACAGCCCTTCTATACTTAAAGAAGGGAGGAAATGTCAGGGGCAGCCCTGCTTATACACTGAAGGCCTAAAATCAGCCATAGGCCTAAAATCAGCAATAGGCCTGTCATACATGTATACTAACACCAAGTCTTGAGTCTCAGTGGAAAAACATTGAAACCAATGGCTATAAGCTAATGTCAACAGGCAGCTTTTGTGGAAATTTATAAGCCTGAGTAGTCATAGACCTTGTAAATAGGTAGCCTTGGCAGACAATACCAACTTAAATAAGGACAAGTGAGTCATAGGCAGAGTCATAGTGACCTGTCCCCCTGAACCTTCACCTAACCGATACCCAGTTCTGAAGATATCTGTATTCCCCCTGAACACCCACACTCCAGTGTCATTCCCTTCCCTACATCCTGCCTTTCTGTGTTCATAACCCCTGTGTGAATGAATTACGATTTGAGAAAAAATAAAAAATAAAAAATAAATAGAACAATCGAGGCTAGAAAAAAAAAAAAAAGATAACCTGGTCTACCTAGTGAGCTCCCAGATGGACAGAGTTATAAAAACCCTGCCTCAAAAAGCAAAATAAAACAAATAATGCCCACAAGGTCTGAACATGAGATTAGCAGGCACTGTTGAAAGAACACACAGGCCAGTGAGAGAACTCTTGCCCCTAAGCCTCACTTGAGTTCGTAACCTGGGTGGAGACTCAGTATCACAATGCAGGGAGAGTGCTGGCTCCTGACAGTTGTCCTTTGATGTTGACATGGGCACCAGGCATCTGTGTGCCCGTGCACATAAAAATAATGTAATTCTAAAATTGGTGTTTAAAGAATAAGCACAGTACTGACCGAAGCCATGGTTGGACCAATGACATGACTCAGAGTGTAGAGATCCTTGCTGACAAACCTGAGGACCTGTGTTTGATCTCAGAGTCTACATGGTGAGAGAAAACTAACTTGTGAAAGTCAACATCGGCCATTCACATGGAAGGCACAACATACATGCACACACATCCACACTAAACATGATAAAAAAGTAAACAATGAGGTTACCAGGAAGAACTTAGACACTAAAGACAGAGTAACTCTGAGAACTTGAAGTTCCCTAGAAATACACTGAAGAAATTTCTAAGCAAATGTGGGAATACTGTGACTTCTCTGGTTGTACATGGGGAATTCGAGAGAGAGCAGAATCAAAGGGAAGAAATCAAAACTTCAAGATTTGGAAACGGGAGGCAGGGAGTGGAGGTTTGATCTCCAGCACAAAAGTAAACAAAACACAAACAACGCCCCCTTCCCCCCAAAAAAAGCAAAACCTGGAAGATATGGAGAATTCTCAGCCTATTTATACTGCAGGCAATGAGACTGCAGTCCAAAAGCCAGCTGACATGGAGATTAGAACAGGTGTACACCAGGTTAGCCCAGCAGAAATGCTTCCAGTTGGAATTGAAGGAGGCAGAGACAGGATCTGAAAGGATGCTACAGGACTCAGCTCCCACGGGACCCAACCACAGTGCTATGCCATTGTGTACCACTAACCAAGACAAAGGAAGGACCTCCAGGACAGTCTAGGTCCTTGGAAGCTGCATGGTCATCCTTCACAGCTTGGACAGCACCAGTAAGAAGGTGTGATGCTCGGGCTTGTTGCTGCAAATTTGTTTCTGCCTTGCTTTTTCAAATTAGAGATCATTCTGAAGCCTTATCGCCTCCTGGTGGCCCAGGTATGTCAGTGCACATCTTCAATCCCAACACTTGGGAGGCAGAGGCAGGCAGATCTCTGTGAGTTTGAGGTCATTCTGGTCTACATAGAGAGTTCCAGGACAGCCAGGACTACATAGCGAGACACTGCATAAAAAAAATCAAAATAGCCGGGAGGTGGTGGCACACACCTTTAATTCCAGCACTTGGGAGGCAGAGGCAGGCGGATTTCTGAGTTGAGTTATGAGGCCAGCCTGGTCTACAGAGTGAGTTCCAGGACAGCCAGGACTACACAGAGAAACCCTGTCTCAAAAAAAAAAAAATCAAAATAAATAAGTGCAGGAACTGGAGAAATGGCTCAGTGGTGAAGAGCACTTTGCTGTTCTTATACAAACCTAGCTTTGGTTCCCAGGCCCCACATGGTGGCTCACAACAATTTAACTCCAGTTCCAAGGGACCTGATGCCCTCTTCTGGCCATTTTGATCATAGTATGTATATGGAACACATACATACATGCAGGCAAATACATACATGGGCTAAAACACCCATGCACACAAAATAAAAATAAATAAATCTTTAAAGCCAAAGACTTATTTATTTATTTATTTATTATGTATACAGTGGTCTACCTGGATGTATGTCTGCAGGTCAGAAGAGGTCATCGGACCCCGTTACAGATGGTTGTGAACCACCATGTGGTTGCTGGGAATTGAACTCAGTGCTGGAAGAGCAGTCAGTGCTCTTAACTCCTGAGCCATCCCTCCATCCCCAATAAATAAAACTTAAATAAATAAAACGGACAGTACCTATGGCCTCCAGTCTCTACATAGACTTGAGCCATGTGTGTACTCGTGCTCGCTCCCCCGACACACACTCTGTCTGTCTGTCTGTCTGTCTATCTATCTATCTATCTATCTATCTATCTATCTATCTATCTAAAGGAGTTTGCCTTGCTAAGTCTGGGGCTTTCTTGGTAGGAACTCTACTGAACTTCATCCCAGGTGACCTATTACATCTAAATGGAATGAGAACGGTTTGTTTGTTTGTTTGTTTTTGGCTTTGGGTTTGTTTTTTTTGTTTTTTGTTTTTGGTTTTTCGAGACAGGGTTTCTCTGTGTAGTTCTGGCTGTCCTGGAACTCACTCTGTAGACCAGGCTGGCCTCAAACTCAGAAATCCACCTGCCTCTGCCTTCCAAGTGCTGGGATTAAAGGTATGCGCCACCACCGCCCAGAAAGAATCTGGTTTTTAAAAATTACTTAAAGTTGGGTATAATGTATGCACTCATAGTTCCAACTATTTAGTAATCAGAGATAGGAAGGTTATTTGAGACCAACCTGGGCAACCCAGCAACATCCTGTATCAAAAAAAGTAAAAAGAGAGTTGGAAAGACGGCTCAGTGGTTAAGAGCACCAGCTGCTCTTCCAGAGGTCCAGAGGACCTAGGTTCCAATCCCAGCATCCATGTGGCAGATCACAAATATCTATAACTCCAATTCCAGGGGATTCTGGCTCTTGAGGGCACTGCTGGTATCCAATGCATAGAAATACACGCAGGTAAAACACCCATATACATAATATAAAAATAGGTAATTTCTTAAATGTCAAAAGGGACAGCTAAATTGGTAGAATACCTGCCTACCATGCACAAGGCCATGGGTTTAATCCTCAACCCTGCATAAAACCAGACGTAGTGGTACACACCTGCAATCCCAGCACTTGGGAGGTGGAGGCAAAGGAATCTGAGGTCCTTGTATGTATACTATGTTCAAAACTAGCTTGGGCTATACGAGACCCTGTCTTAAAATAAGGTTTTAAGCTGGGCAGTGGTGGCGCTCACCTTTAATCCCAGCACTTAGTAGGCAGAGACAGGCAGATCTCTGAGTTTGAAGCTAGCCTAGTCTACAGAGCAAGTCCAGAACAGCCATAGCTACACGGAAACTGGTCTTGAAAGAACAAAAATATAATAATAATAACTATAATAAGAAGGGTTTTTAAGTAATAAAAATTAACATAATGAAAAATTTAAATACAGTATCTATAAGCCAAGCACAGTGATGCAAACCTTTAATCCCAGCACTTAACAAACAGAGGCAGGCAGATCACTGTGAATTTGAGGCCAGCCAGAGCTATAGTTAGACCTTCTCTAGGTGTGTATGGGGTTGGGGGTGGGGGGAAAGACATCTGTAAAATATAAGGACAACCAACAATTATTCTTAGTGATGATGCAGCATCACTGGGACCTGGCAGTTCCATGCATATCAAGAACTTCTTACAGACTCATGCAAAGCAGGAGGAAGGGGTACCAAGACGCCCACTGCTGCAGCTCTGTGGTAACAGCTTTGGACAGAGAATGACAAAGCTCACACAGCTGCCTTACAAATGCTGCGTCGAGGTCAAACAGTAAGGGCATTCGTTGGAACACCCCCAAAAATGTACCCATAGAACAATACAGACTTTTAAAGGATGCAAACAAAAATGTAAACCTTGAACACAGTAGACTGGGGTGCCCATGGGATGGAAGGGAACAGCCTGGCCATGAGAGACTGAAGCAGATGCAGACGGTGTGGTCTTGAGCCTTTGAGGATGGGGGTGGTTGGGGGGACAGTGGAGTAGCTCTAGGTAGGAAGTCTTGTCTAGAATAGGAGCCCTCAAACACTCTGGCTCAATGCACAGCCCACTATCTTATGAGACCAGAGGGGCCAGGCACTCTCCAGGGAATAGACCAAGGTTGCTCCCCTTCCCCCTCCCCTCCACACACCTACCTGGACTCTGGCTCAGGACACATTTCCTCATTCCACTGGATTTTCTTCAGCATGTCAGAGCAGCAGTATTGGTTGGAACAGGAACCACAACAGAAATCAGGACAGGACTCTGGGATCAAATTGTCTTCACCGAAGGGCCTGCATAGCTCACCATAGGCTGAAGCACAGAGACAAGTTTGTTCTCCTCTATCCCATAGGCCAGATCTCAATCATATCCCAGATGATGGCAGGGATTTCCCCCTGTCCAGCCACCAGGCACAAGCATGCTTTAGGCCACCTCAGTGGCCCACGCTCCTACCAAGCCTTTGCCCTATCCTCTGGGCCACAGGAAGGTACCCTGCGTCCCTTGGCAGTCTGTCGGTTTCCTGGCAGAAGACTGACTAAGTGTAGATCTGACTGTGCTACTTGCTGCTCTCAGAACCTCCTACTTTTACATCAAGACCCCAAGGCAGGGTGTCCATTACCAAGGCCCTCAGCGATTACCCTTTCTGCCTCACCTCTCTTGCCTGTCCCTCACCTGAGACGCCACTCTTCCTTCAAGGACCTAGTCCCGGCCACCTCCCAGAAGCTGCCAAGCCTAGAAGGTGTACCGCTGAACACACACCTGAGCAACTGTAGGCACAGGACTATTCAATAGTTAATCCTCGTTCCCTCCAGAGCAGCCTCACCTGTCGGGCACACACGCCTGAACCTCAGCCCCTACCAACGGGCTGAATCCTAACCAATTCACAGTGACACTCAACACATGAGACTCCATAAAGCACTTATCACTAGGCTAGGCGTGTGCTGGGCATCAGAAAATGTGACACTGTATGAGACCCTTGCATGTAGGCTCTCAGTCCAAGAGCAAGCAAGCAAATCCCAATAAGCAAGGTCACGTTGAGAAGGGCACAGGTACCAACAAGCTTCACCACACTCTGGGAAGGTGCCACACACCATGTCCCTGTGTCCTTAGGCTACATTAGCAAACCTGAAGCTTACACACAGAACCCTCCCATGAAAACCCTCATCAAGGCTAATCGGACTACATCTGTGGACAGTTCCTTAAGTATGAGCCTGGAAGCAGTCCTGAGCCAGCACATAAGCCCTGGTCAGAAGGCATAGCATGCGCCTTGGGAATGCCAGAATGAGGCCCAGGGGAAGAGGCACTGTATGACAGACTGAGAAAAGTTAACTTGGAGGTAAAGAGGACTATGTTTTTGTTGTTTTTGGCAGAACCTTGCTCTGGGCAAAACCATGAAATGGGTCTATCTGACCACTGCAGGCCCTGTTCAGCCAGCTCACCATCTGAAAGTGAGCCAGGCTGCGATTCTGAGGCAGAACAGCCCACCCCAGCGAGACTTCTTGCTTTCTTTTTAGGGCAGGGTCTCACTATGTAGCCCTAGTATGCATGCCTGGAAACTCACAACCTAGACCAGACTGACCTCAGACTCACAGGGATCTTCCTGCCTTTGGAGTGTTGAGATTAGAGACAAGTGACATCTTCCAATGCCCACACCAGTGGGTCTTTCAGGCTGAGACCCTCCAGACACAGAACAAAACTCTCTAGTCTGGAGGCCATTCTCCCAGAACTACACTCCCAGGCTGACTCCCTTCTCATCTCCAAATTCATGTCAGCCCTCAGGAAACAGCCCTTTTCCTCCAGGAAGCCACCCATCACAACAGTCAGCTTCCCAATGGCCAGCCAGGGGACTGTTCCACTATACACCCAAACAGGCCCCCAGCCCGCCCTTCCAAGCTCAAGTGAGTCATCCCTCTAGGATGAAAAGGGAAAGAGGTGTCTCCTCCCCAAGCCAGCCTTAGGGCCCAGCTTCTCCAGGAACTCAGGGCTGTAGAGGCAGTAGATGCCGGGCTCCCAGCCAGGAAACAAGCTGAGAGGCATAACCTTTGCTGAAGGGGCCAGGCTGCCTTGCTCCAGCCCCTGGAACAGGTAGGGCCTACACACCATGAAGACCACAACAAAGGTGGGCAGTATCAGTCAGTTCAGGAGGGGAAGAGGTAACAAGATGGGTGGTGAGGTTCGCAGAGGCTCCTTGGTTACCAGGGGGTCAAGTGGAAGCACTCCAAGACTGGTACTGTCTGGCTCACTCCAGAGACAGCTAGGGGAAGTGTCTGACCCGACCCGGTCCCTGGGGAGCACACACCGCCCCCTCCTCCCAGGCTCACCACCCGGAGGCGGCAGCAGCAACAGCAGCAGCAATTGGGTCCACGGAGAGGGCGCCGGCGCAGCCATGGCGGGACAGACCGACAGACGAACAGACGGACCAAGCCAAGGACCACGGTGCAGCCACAACCTCCGCGACCAGCGCGGCCCTAGCCTCCTTGCCCCGCCCCGGCCGGTTTCCGGAACCCCCGCCCGAGATGGGAGGAGATGGGAGGGAGGGGGAAGAGGTGGGAGGGAAGGGAAGCCACCCCTCCCAGTCTGGCCCTGGGAGTCTCTCCCGCACCGTCCGCGACAATTTGAGACAGGTTTCCCAGATGCAGGAGGAGGGGCTGGTGCACCCAAGTTGCTCTCTGCTCACGGGATACTTTTGCGGGGAGACCCCCTTGTGGCTGACTTAGGTGCTAGGAAAGGATCTCTGTGGCAACGTTATCCTAACACTTGAGCACCAGCTGTGTACAGTTGGTCCGCGCCTCCAACTTTGCCCTCAGGGAAGCTGCGATTTTCTTGCTGGCTCATTAGATCCTCACACAGATTCACCAGAGGAGGACCATGTGGAGCAAAGCAGGGAATGGTGTTCAACAAATTCAAGTTCCTTTTAGCAGATTTCCAGGACCTCAGTCTGAGGAATGTCATCCGCAGTGACCAAGACCACCTCCAGGCAGCTCCTCACCCTAACTCAGGGGCACCTCCAGGTTGCTGCTCACCCTAACTCAGGGGATAGATCCAGAGGTAAGAACTAACAGCTCCCAGAGTACACACAGGCCACCTCCTAACAACTCTAATAGGCTGCCCCTTCCCCTCAATGTAGGGCAAAGTTCCTAACAAGGCCAGGAAATGGAGGTATGGCGTTCTTATACTGCTCAGCACCTGGCACAGATAATATTTTCTTCTCACGACTGATCCCATGACATGTCTGCTGGGGACCACTTGAGTCAGTATGTGCTCTGCGCTGTACCTTTATACACTCCTCATCTGAGACATTGCTGTAGACAAAGATCAAGCCCTAAGGAGATGGTCCGGAAGGCCTCCAGCAGTTACTCAGCCTGTAGGATTATAGGGAGCCAGGAAGGAAAGCGAAACAACTGGTTCCTTCTGGTCAAGAGGATGAAATCTCTAAACTATCATATGTTAATCTAGTGCCCAGGCCAAAGGATTACCCTGTCTGCAAGACAGGGCCACTCCTAGGAAGACATGCTCACTTTAAGCTGGGCTATGGAATAATGATCCCTTTAATGAGATACTGTATTTTTCCTTCCCAGAATTCCTGGCCCCCAAGCACAGTTCCTACAAGGTGCCATGAGGTTCTGTTGAATCTGCTTTTCTCTTTTTCCCTTTTCTGACTTTTGAATGCTTGTCAGAACATAAATTTGCTTTTTGCTAATACTTTGGGCTTCCTCTAAAGCTCTACTCTGCCCTCCTTGCTGGTTTAACACAAAGAGAATGACATTTTTTTCCTTTTCTTCCTCCTTTTTCAGACACAGAAGGAGTTTTTGTTTTGTCTTTGACAAGGGTCTCACTACATAGATCTGGCTTCTACCTCCCTGAAAGGTGTGTGCCACTATACCCAGCCAGGCTTTGCTTTTAAACTATAATACAGTTGTCCTCTTTGCTAGACTTTCCAACTTTTCCTGCCTTTTAAATCCTATATTGGCGAAGAACACAGCCCATTCTTGTATGCCTGGATAGCATCACCAGCTCAGTTAGGGTGACTGTCCAGGGGCTCAGCACAGTAAAGCACTAGTTGCTCTTGTGGAGAGGCTGAGTCGGTTCCCAGCACCCATGTGATGGCTCACAACCATCTGTAGCTCCATTGCCAGAGGGTCCCATGCCCTCTTCTGACCTCTGTGGTCACCTGGCACACACATGGAGTACACACATACATGAGTGGAGGCAAGCAGTCATACACAGAAATACAAAAAAATTTCTGTGCAGGGACCTGGCAAGCCAGAATGAAAGGACAACATAAACCCCATTTGTCCCCATTTAAGGACCCCATCTGTCTCCATTTAAGGACCAGGCCTTTTTTTAAAAAAAGGCCTTAAGTCACCAGCTACAGGAACAGACCATAAATCCCAGAAACTAGGCCATAAGACACCAGCTCCAGGGCAGACCATAAAATCTAGAAACAAGATCATAAAAACCCCTCCCAATGAACAGCCTGGGAGTAATCACAAAAATGGGGAAATATCTCAGAATGGGCCATCTGTGCTGGGCAGCCCTATCTCATCCTATGGTTAAACATTCATGACATAGGAATGCAGACCACTGACCACCTGTGACCTCCTAACACCCACCGATAAAATTCTAGATTACCGAATCCCTCTAGAGAGTTGCCCCATTCCCTATAAGAAGGCCTGCGTGCCTTTGTCTGGGGGGTCACCATTTCAAAGAAGGATTGACTCCCACATGCTGGTTGCTTCTGCAAAATAAAAGCTCTTTCTCTTTGCTTACTATCTGAGTCTGAGGTCTTCCTTCAGCAAATTTCAGACCCTTACAAGCACAGCAGTGATGCTCAGGAGGCCTGACAGGATGGAGGTGGCTGGGTGTGGGTGTAGCCCAGGACTGGGCTGGGAGGGGCAAGTGCTAGTATAGCTAGCCCAAGGGACCTCGTTTTTTCTCAGCCAGTACCTGGGCTCCTTTCATCTGTTTTGGATGTTGGTCATCAGAGACTTCTTCTTCAGCATCCATTGCAGCTAGAGCAAGGGCTTTTACTGCAGGCCCAGCAGGTGATCTGTACCCTCAGACGCATCAGTGTTGCTAGCAGGGTTGGCTAGCTAGCCAGATACCAGTAGGCATGGAGGTCATCAGGACTAGAGCCCTCTTCATTGGACCCCACCTCCTTTGTCCCGAATAACACTAATTTTGAGGAAAGAGGAAATATTATATTTGCTCCTCCTTGGAATTTGAATCCCAGTGGTTAATCCCTGTGCTACAAATTGTTCTGTTGACAAGACCCTTTGATGAAAACAGCAAGAAGTTCCCTTGGCCAGCCCTCCCAGGATAAGGAGAAAATCCTGTTTTCACAAGCTCATGGGGACTGCTAAAGACAGACACCAGACATCTGACACCATATTCTAAGGCCCAGTGGGTGAAGACACTTACAGCCAGCCTCAGCCTGACCGACCACCTGCTCCTTCCCCAGGACCCACATGGTGGAGGCAAGAAGCAGCATCAGCAAGTGGTCTACATGAACACCATGACACCTGTGGCCCCCTGCACCCCATAAATGCAAAAAGGAAAACTGTTAAAGATGGGAGAGATACCTGTCCACTAGATGAGTTACTTCTGTGCCTCAGCCCTCCCCTTGACACCAATGTTGAAGGTACTCGAGGGACCCCTTTCTAGCTTCTCAGAAGTTGCTCTTTCCTCTGTCCCCCCTTTCAGATTCCAGCGAACATCCTAAGCCTGCCCGCCCAGACATCTGACATTCTCACCCTTTCTCTGAGGACACCCCATGTGCCCAACCATGCACTGCTCCAGCACTGCCCTCACTACGCCTGCCTGCTTTCTTGACATCTAACTCAAAAGAGCATGGCTTTCTGCCTCCTCTTGCCCATCTCCCTCCTCCTGGAAGCTGCTGAAATTCCTCTACATAAACTCAAAAGTAAAAAATAAGAAATCTGCTTACCTTCTCAGTCTTTTTATTTATTTATTTATTTATTTTTTGGTTTGGTTTTTCGAGACAGGGTTTCTCTGTGTAGCCCTGGCTGTCCTGGACTCACTCTGTAGACCAGGCTGACCTCGAACTCAGAGATCTGCTTGCCTCTGCCTCCCAAGTGCTGGGATTAAAGGCGTGTGCCGCCACCACCACACAGCCAATTATTTTATTTTTAATTATGTACACAGTGTGTACGCCTCCTGTAGGGGTGAGCTACATTTACAGGCATCATGACACATCATGGGTGCTGGGAACTGAACTCAGGTCCTCTGCACGAAAAGTATGTGCTCTCCATCGCTGAACCATCTCTCCAGTCCCTCAATTATTTTCAAGTGGTAACAGCTCTGGCTGCAACTCACAGACTTTAATGAGATACCGGACAGTCCCGTGGAGCCTGACGATAGTCTAGGTGGGGGCAACTACTGTAGCGATTTTTGTTTGTTTGCGATGTCCAGTTTCAATCCCAGACCTCATGCTAGGCAAGTACTTCATTTTGCAAGGCAGAGCCAAGGTGGACTGGAATTTTGGAGGCGAGCATGTAAGAAAGGCAGTGAGTACCAAGGGGTGGCCATTTCCTGTGTTCAAAGGGACATCTAGGTGTGAAAGTTGGGGGATGGGGATTAGGAGTCGGCAGTTTAGCTGAAGTTTAGTGTAAGGTAAACTTGAGGTGGACCATGTATATGTAAACAAAGAAGGAATGAAATCTCACAAGAGCCCTTAGCACTCCACCTTTAGATGAAAGACTCAGAAAACCAGGCTTGGTTAAGAGATCCTGGGCTGGAGAGAGATAGCTTAGTGGGTTAAGAGCCCTAGCTGCTCTTCCAGAGGACCTGGGTTCAATTCCCAGCACCCAAATGACAGCTCACAACCAACTGTAACTCTAATTCCAGAGAATCCAATGCCTTCTCCTAGCCTCTGTGGGCACTGGGCATGCACATGGTGAATAGACATACGGGCAGCCAAATGCCCATACATAAAATAAAAGTAATTAAACTTTAAAAATTGAGGGCCAGCAATTGAGACAGATAAGATTGTGGAGTTTGAATAAGAATGGCCCCAGAGGCTCATATAATTGAATGCTTTGTCATGAAGGAGTGGCTCTACAAGAGAGATCAGGAGGTGTGGCTTTGTTGAAGGAAGTGTGTTACTAAGAGTGTGGTTTTGGGTTTCAAAAAGCCTATTCCAAGCCCAGAGTCTTTCTCTTCCTCCTGCCTGTGGATCCAGATGTAGAACTCTTGGTTATGTCTCCAGCACTGTGTCTGCCTGTGTCCCACCATGTTCCTGTCATGATGAGAACGGACTAAACCTCTGAAACTAAGCAAGCTCCAGCTAAATGAGGCATGGTATCTCTTCACAGCAATAGAATACTAAGAAAGAGATTCTCCTGCCTCTGCCTCCAGAATGCTGAGATTGTAGATGTGTGCCACCACACCTGGCTGTGTTCTTCAAGGGCCAACTGGGCAGAAGCTGACTGAAGGATTCCAACACATACACCTATGAGAAGCCTACAATATCACATGACAACAGAGTTGGTAGAGACCACTCAAGTGTGCACACACACACACACACACACAGAACTAGTTATAAAATACCACCTCAGATTACTGGGTTGTTTTTTTTTTAAAAAAGTATTTATTGCAAAGAATGCTGGACACAGTGCGATGCACAACTGAAAACCAGTATCATACATTCTAGGGAAAGCAGGAAATGTCGGCAGTTCTTCCCATGAACCATCTCAGCTAAAACCTGGTGGCCAGCCTGGCTTGCAGAAGCCACTTCAGGTGCTAGAGGGAGGGGCTGTTCAGGCACAACGCCTCCTCCACTGATATCCCTCCGCCCTCAACCCTAGACTCTTAACACCTCTGGGTCCAGCAATTCTGGCCTTCCCGGGGCACAGAGAAAAAAGGCTTTGGTGGTCTTTGCCTCAAGCTGCATCCAGGCATTATTCACAGCTGCCAACCGCAGGGATCTGCTATGGCTAACACCTGTCCAGATAATATGACAAACATCACTCAGACTCTGAGAGACAAGGGAGCAGAAGCTGCAGGGCCTGTGTCCCGAAGGCAGTGGTGTGGTCCTCCAGCTCCAAGCTAGGGCTTGTAGGTCTGATGAAATGAGCCCAGGAGTCCCTCCCCAAGCCCACACAGACAACAGTTTGGAATAATGGCACTGACTTCTCAGGGGCAGATGGATGGCATCTGCAAGTTACACAGCCCAGGGCTGGCAGGGCTGGCAGGGCTGGCAGGGCTGAGAAAGGTGGACTATTCTGCCAGATTTGGGCTTGGAAAGGTTCTTGGGTGCAGGGCCTGGCTTCCCCATGGCTGCTCTGTGGATACTAGAGCAACCAGTTACTGATATAGAAAGTATCTTACCCTGTTCCACAGCCTGCCTGTCGCCCTGTTGGTCAGCTGACACATGGAGCCTGAATCTGCTCCGTGGACCCACCAGGACTCAGGGCAGGAGAGGCACCAGGCTTCATAAGGCTGTTTGCACTAGGGTTTAATTTGTATTTGAATCAAAACTAGGGTGGGGTCAGGGACTCCTCCCATGGCCAGGGCTGCCTCTGTGCTTTGTTGTCTCCTTCCTCAGACCTACAGGTGGAGGTCAACGAACAGAAGGACAGTTTGGCAGGACCACCAGTTCTGAGCCATTTATGACAAAGGCATGTCCCTGTTTCCAGTGTACAGTTCTGTGTGGACAGTGACAGCGACAGCCAGGTAGGGGAGACCAGTTTCCATAAGCACTTTGGTGTGTGCACCAAGAAGGTACTTCATAAAGCTGCCCTGCCTTCAGAGGATCCCCTGTGAGAGAATTTAGGACAAGGCACCTGGCCGCAGCTCTTCCATGTTCCAGTGGAAAACTTGGTAGACATTAGGAACCAGCGCCACAAATGATGCTCTCTTCACTCACTCTTGTGAGCACCCACAGATGCAGACAGATGTGGGCAGAAGCTCCCCTGCTCCATCTTCTGCTCCAGGTGAGGAAGAAAAAGGCTTTCCACTTTGCCTGGGGCAGCGTCCACTTAAGGCCCCATGAAGATCTAACCTCTGGCTCCAAGAGCAGCTACGGAGAGGGCAGTAGGGCTCTTCCAAGGCTGCCTGGCCCACTTCAGGCAGCTGGGCCACAGTAGGGATGTCCTAGTGACACTTGTTGTCTCAGTGTCTTATTTAAGGTTGCAAACGTCATGAAGCAGCCAGCCTGGTGAGTGAACTGCTTGAGAGCTGTAGCAGAGGGGCAAGCAGCAGAGCACATAGCCCCGGGATTCTCAGCAGCAGGTCAGCAGCCATACCCAACCTGTCACTGGTTGTCAACAGGGAGGTGAGTGGGCCAGGCTGAGGGTTCTGAGTGTTGCTAGCCACCCATGGCTTCAGGAGTGTACCATCAGTACAGTAAACACGAGGTGGCCTGGAGTGACCCCTCCACAGAGGTCAGGGCCTGCCATGGATCATTGGTGAGCAGGGACTGTGACAAGGGCTTCTTCTGAAGGCCTGGATATGTCTACATTCTGCACAACAATAAAGACAAAGAATGTTCATCCTGCACAGGGATAGACGGGGCACCACCTCACTTCTGCTGCCCTGATCACTATGGCAACACAGACACACGGACTTACCTCAGTAGCTACAGCTGAAAGCCCCTAACCTGCCCTAAGCATCAAATACCACTTGATGGGTGCTCAGACTTCAGAACAAGTGTGTGGTGAGGGTACTCCCCACTCCCTGCTCCACTGCAAGCAGCTCGAGTGCTACCCAAAGCAAGCCCACTCAACCTCCCACCAGAGGACAGGCCCACTGGGGAAGGAGAGAAGGCAGGGAGGGGGCTTAGTCTCTGAGTGCACCTCCTTCCTGGCTCTAACAGCCTATAGACATCTGCTAGGCTGGAATATGGTTTATCTCCCCAGGACTGAAACACGGGGCCCCATGATACCCCTGAAGTTCTCACTGTGAATGACCCTCCAAGAGCTATAAAGCCCAGTTCCAGCTTTGGCCTGCTAAGCTTTGGGTATCTCAGGTCTGAGAAACGGGGGTTTGAGACTTCCCTCAGCCCCATGGGCCTGTCCCTTGATCCCTCCGTGGCTTCCCTTAACTCCAACACCTGTAGGAATGTGTCAGGAGTTATAGCCCTGTGCAGTATGACAGAGCCAGACCTTCAGGGACAGAGACATGCTCCTCTTGGCCTACACTGAGCTCACAGACCAGCCCTAGGAACTGAAGGAGTGGGCAGAATCCTTACTTTGAGGCAGGGTTGGTTTGTTATTGGTTTGTTTTTTTGAGAGGAGTCTCATTGTAGTCCATGTAGCCTCAAACTCACTATGTAACTGAGGACGACCTTAACTTCAGATAAGGTCCTCCTGCCTCCATGGAATTACAGGCAGGTGTCACTAAACTCTGCTGTGGACCGAATCCACAGCTTTGCATATGATAGGCAAGCGTCCTGCCAGGTCAGCCATGGCCAGGCTCATGGTCCTTTGTAAAGTTCAAAGGTGCCCCGTTTATAAAGGTGTTCATGAAGCCTGGACTGACTGACAAGGGAGTTGAGAATCACCACCTGCCATGGGTGGGTAGCTGGCCTCTCCCTCCCCTGGGACCAGCTCTGGTCCAGATCCATGGCAGGGCTGCCTAGGAGCTGTGAGGCCTCGAGAACAGGGAGCCAAACACACCTGGCTCCGGTTGCTTCCTGCTGGTGGCCCAGCTCTAGGCACCTCCCCAGGGCCAACCTCGGGAAGAACCTAACCAAGCCACAGCCCCACCCTGGCTGGCCACAGGAGACAGGCCCAAACAGAAAACAGCCCCCACCCTAACCTGCCCCTGACCCAACTAGGACACCCCAGGGAATGTGCCCACCACCCCGGCAGGGAGCCCAGTGCTACCTGAGGTCTTTCTCGGTGCGTGTTCACAGCTGCCACGTTCAGGAATATGGACTCCATTTTACAACCTGCCAAAGGAAGAGGCCAGTGCAGTCCCCACACACGCAGTCAGAGCCACAGCAAACCTACTCTAGGGAGGAGACTGGAACACACAGAGCTCAGCTCTATCCTCCTCCTTCCCAGACAGCACCAGGGACCACCAGGAAGCACAGAAGTCTTGTCAGACTCCTGCGTATCCATGTGACTGCCCATGTGTGGCACATGGGGGACACGGGCTGCTTACACAGACTAGGGGTGGTTGGGGCAGCAACAGGTCAATGATCAACATGGGATCCCTTACTCTTGGTGCCCCCTAAACCAGTGACATCATCTATTCTGCCAAAAACAGTCCAGTCAGCCTGAGAGGAGGGAGGGACAACCCAGCTCTCCTGAAGTTTGTTCTCCTCAGGCGTGACCCAGGAGAGCAGGCTGTGTCCTGAGCATCTACAGTTAGAAGCATGGAGGAATGTAAATGTCCCCCATCCAGAATATTCTAAAGTTAAGGAAATATCAAAGATCACTGAGGAGACTTCCTGTAGTCACAGAAACTTTGAGACAAAGTCTCATTGTGTATCTCAGGCTGGCCTTGAACTCACTATGTACACAAGGGTGGCCTCGAACTCTTGACAATCTTCCTATCTCAGTCTCCTAATTACAAATATAAGCTACCATAACTGAACACACCAAGTTTTTTTTTTTTTTTTTTTTTTTTTTTTTTGTTTTGTTTTGTTTTCCAGACAGGGTTTCTCTGTGTAGCCCTGGCTGTCCTGGAACTCACTCTGTAGACCAGGCTAGCCTCGAACTCAGAAATCCGCCTGTCTCTGCCTCCCAAGTGCTGGGACACCAAGTTTTCTATAAACTAAAAAACAAACTAGGTGTACAATTAGACTTCCAGCCCCGGGGAGTGAGGGGAGCTGAGACAGGGAGTTCCTGAACAAAACCCCACCTCAAGACAATGAAAGAAGAAAACCAGGAAAGGGGAATTGGGAAAGGCAAGGAGTGATGAGTCCCTACAGCCTGCCAAGGTCTACATGCTGGACGCTCCCTTACCATAAGCCACAGGCGTGAGCTTCAGGACTGTGTGCAAGGGGCATTTGAGGTAGGGCAGCTCTTCTGTGGACAAAAGAGAACAGGGCTAGCATGACATACATGCCTGGGGGTCCCCCTGCCATGCACACAGCCCACCTGCCCGAGACAAGACCCCTCACCAGCTGCTTTGTCAAGAAAGTAGGCCAGGAGGCAACGCATCACAGCCTGGTGGCAAATGACCAGCACATTCTCCTGTCTCTCCAGTTCCATGATCACGGGCTCCAGTCGCTGCACCAGGTCTTCATAGGACTAAAAGGCAAGCAGGGAAGGTGTCCTTCAGGCCTGGCTCCAAGGTGGGAATGGAATCAGAGGTGCTGTTCTGTCTGGTCTTACCTCAACCTGACACACAAACTAGGCTCATCAGAGCCATAGAAACCCTAACTGAGGCAGGTGTGCTCAGCAGTGGGCGCCTGCCAACACCTGAAGCTGCTCACCATGCTAGAGATTGTGTCTAAGCTCCCTTCAGCCTAGTTCCTGAGGGAGTGGAGTGGACAGATGCCCTTAGAAAGCTGGTCTAGTGAGATGTCCAACCCTTCTCCATCCAGGGCTGGATTCTGGTAGGACTGAGAGAGCTAGGCCTCAGACACGTCCCAAGAGGCTACTGTGAGGCCCCATTCTTTTGGACCAATGGTGCATTCTGGTCTCCAGCCTCCCTCAGTATCAACAGTAACCTGGCTTTTCTTTTCTTTTCTTTTTTTTTTTTTTTGGTTTTTTGAGACAGGGTTTCTCTTTATAGTCCGGGCTGTCCTGGAACTCACTCTGTAGACCAGGCTGGCCTTGAACTCAGAAATCTGCCTGCCTCTGCCTCCCAAGTGCTGGGATTAAAGGCGTGCACCACTACCGCCCAGCTCAACCTGGCTTTTCTTACCCACCCCTACCCTACACTTCTCCAGCTCACAGGCCTCCCTCCCAGCTTCCCTCATGGCCGAGTCCCATCAGCTGCCATGTTCAGCCCACTGCTTTCTCTCTCTGCTCTGGACTCTTCCAGATGGCTCTCACTCATATCCACAGAAAGAACCATACTTAGGATTGGTCACGTCCTCAGTTTATATAGCTACCTCATGCCATCAATGGGGCCCTCTGCAGCCTTCCACTACAGGGTTCAGTCACTCAAAGCCGTGATGGGTGTAAAGTCGCCACCCTCCCCTAGTCCACAGCACTGAAGCACACAGAGCACAGTGGGTGGGTGTGGTGGGACAAAGGCCCTAGAACCTCCTAGAGTATGACAACTGTCAAGATTCTGAGGTCCTCAGGAACAACCATGTGCTTGTCTGCTTGCCTGTTCCCTTCTCCACTGTTATAGTGATAGGGACCTTGGACCCCTGCTGTCCCCTGGGGCAACCCCTAGCTCCATTTTTACCTGAGAATTAGGCCTGAGGATGGGGCAGTTCCATTTCTCTGCATAGATATCCATCTTTCAAAATAAATCCCTCCATGTAGAGCCTGACCCATGCTATGACTGACCAGGGGCACCAACACCCTGGCCTGTGCTGACCTCTAGCAGTTCTGGGGTATTCTTGATTAATTCTTTTTATAATTAATACCATAATGAATTCCCCATACATTCTCAAGTCTGAGAAGCTGCCTTCACTGTTTCTTTTTATTTATTATTTTTATGTGTGGGTGGAAGGGTAGATGTTCAGTGATTATGTGTGTGCGCACACACATATGGAGGCTGTGAGGTCAACCTTGGATGTCTTTTGTCAGGTGCTCTCCACATTATGTTTTGAAATAAGGTTTCTCCTTGGCCTAGAGCTGAGTAGGCTAGGCTGACTGGCCAGCAAGCTCCAAGGATTGACCTGCCCCTGCCTCCTCAGTTACCGGGATCACAGGCATGCATGCTACAGCAGGTGTTTTTGTTTTGTTTTTAACCTGGGTTCTGGGGATCACACTTAGGTCCTGTTTGCAAGGCAAGCAACTGACTGCACTACCTCCCAGCCTTGTGCTGTTTTTCCTCACCACTATATGGATTGGTTCTGAGCCTGAGCTCTGCCTTATAGCCAGCCCAATGTGAGAATTGTCCACATCACCCAGAGCTGCATGATTTCACGCATGTGTCTCTGGGCATATTTAGGCAACAGCCCAGAGCACCTCCTTGAAGCTGGAGGAGATTCCTCAGCCAAAGTGATTCTTACTTTCTGACCAGGTACTCTCTTGGAGAAGGTGATATGAGATTACTTTGCCAGATCTCTCTGGGGAAGGTCTCCATGGATCTGGAGACCCCCTGAGCAAGTTGGGGGCTGATATATGGAGTTGCATGGAGGATAGAATCTCCTTATGACAAGGGGAAACATCCAGTGAAAGGATAAAGGTCCAGGGCCAAGACAAGAGTGGAGAGCATGTTGGGGTGAGGCCTAGCCATATGAGGCCTGAGTCTATGGCCACATAGAGCTGTCTGGGAAATGGCTGATGACTCCCTGAGAAAGAACCTGGCCTGGGCACCCCAGGAGACGATGAGTTAACCACAGAAGTCCTAGGAAAACCAGACTCAACAGAGCCAGGGACACTCCGCTCAGCCTCTGCCCTTGCCAGATCTCCCTTAGATCATGTTCTCCGTAGCACTGCCCCCCTACAACCCAAGGAAGAGCAAACATCCAGGAGACAGAGCTGGGAACTGATGGAGAGAAGAAACCCACACCTAGGCTGCCTGCCTCAAGGCCGAGCCTCTAAGCCCCAGCCACACGCAGCACTGCCAGGCAGGCGACACTGGGACTAAGATCCCAAATCCCACCTACCTCACCCTTCGGGTACCGGTACCGGTACTTGTCCTGATCCCTCAGGGCAAACTCCAGCGGATAGTGATCCTGGATTTCTTCGTAAGTCATCTCCTCACAGACACCCTAGGAAGACACAGCATTCGTCATAGCATCCACGCCAGGCTGACAAGACTAACCTTTGAGTGGAGGAGCAGAGACCAGCATTTCCTGGGCCAATGGAACCCTGTTAGCACAAAGGTGACACGATGTGGAAAAGCAGACCCTGTCTGGACAGTAAGTTTTATGGTAGCCATTTGTAGGGAGCTATAGGAATAGAGCTCACCTGTCCATCACACATCTACCCAGTGGATGGCATTGGATTTAGCACTAATGTGCATGTTTTCCTAAGTCTTTACAATTATTTTTTGTTTGCTTTTGTTTTGTTTTTTGTTTTGTTTTGTTTTTTTGAGACAGGTCTCTTTATATAGCCATGTCTACCCTGGAACTCACTGTGCAGACTAGGCTGGCCTCAAACGCAGAGATTCACCTGCCCCTGCCTCCCCAGACCTGGGATAGAAGGCCCACACCGCTTGTCCAGCTTACAAAATTGTTATTGCTTTTACTTATTTGTCTGTTAGTTTGTTGTGTGTGTGCCCTTGTGCTCATGACAAGGCATGGTTGTGGACAGAGGACAACCTGCAGAAGTCAGGTGTCTCCTTCCATTGTGGGAACTCCAGCAGTGGAACTCAGATTCTTGGGCTTGTCAGCAAGTGCCTTTACCCACTGAGCTGTCTTGCTAGCCATTTATTTACTTATCTTTCTGGTTTTCAGGGGTCTGTTTCTTTGTGTAGCTCTGGCTGTTCTGGAACTGGTTCTTTAGACCGGGTTGACCTTGAACTCTGTCCCCCCAGGTGCTGGGATCAAAGGTGTGTGTTTCCACGCCTTTGCTGGACCTTCTCTTGTCTGTTATGAAAGTATTAAATATGAGTAGAAGCTGCTGTGTAAACTGTATTTAAAAAGATTCATTTGTGTCCTGGAGAAAGAGAACATGCCAGAATGAAAGAGAGACAGAGAGGAAGAAAGAGACAGAGACAGGACCTGAGTTTAATTCCTGACACTCATGTCAGGAATCTTACAATTGTGTGTAAACTCTAGAGGATTCAATGCCCTCTTCTGGTCTCTGCAGGCAACACACACACACACACACACACACACACACCCCAAACCATCAGCCACCAGCAGAGAAGAAAAGGTGATGGAAAATACCTTAGTGTTATTTAAGGCCCTGAGAGGCGCTGAAGAGATTGAACTATCTCATGACCTGCCAGCCTTAAAAAACTGTATATGTTTTGATGTCAGGAAGTGGAACAGTGTTGTAATAAGTCCCTAAGAATGTGGAAGTGGTCACAGAGGAAGGAAGAATGTTTTAGGTTGCCTCCAAGAGCCTGTTGGTAACAGTGTAGATGTTAAAGGGGATTGTGGGAAGGCTTAGAGGGAAGCAGGGGATGGTAAAGAAAGCCCTGGTCAGGCTGGGAGGATGGCGCAGTCAGGAAAGTGCTTGCTGACTCATGGGAACCTGAGTTTAGATCCCTAACACTCGTGTAAAAAGCTAGTATGGCAGCAGGCATTTGTCTCTCTAGCACTGGGGAAGCAGAGACAGGAGAATCCTTGGAGCTCAGATTCTGAGAAAGATCCTGTCTCAAAAAGTCAGACAGAGAGTGACTGAAAAACCTCTGGCTCGTGAACACCCATAGGTGCCTGTGCACAATACTCAGGAACACGGACACAAAACACACACAGAGCCTCTGTTACTAACACCACCATAGCCAGGCTGCTGATGTAAATTTGAGTTTAGCCCATCATGGCAGCAAACACTTGCAATCTCAATAGTCAGGAGGCTGAGGACGGAGCAGCATGAAATCCCAGGCCAGCCTGAGTGACAGAGCAAGATCCTGCTTCCACAGAAGAAATGTGAGTGTTGGGGTGTTTCTGTGAGCCCCAGAAAGAAGCAAGATGCCAGTTACAAAAAAATTAGACAAAAGATGACCATTGTTCCAAAGTGGCAGAGAGCCTGGCTCAATATGTTGTAGTGTTGTAGTGTTGGGAGCGATGATCCGTAGCGCTCTTCTGCAGATGAACATGGTACAGGTACAGACAAGCAGACATACACATACACACAAAGAAATATACATAAAACGTTGGCTCGGCGGGTAAAGCACTTGCTGGACAGGAATGAGGACTGGAGTTCAGATCCCAGGAATCCACTTAATGACAGGGGGGCATGGTGCTCTGCCTGTAGTCCCAGCACACGGGAGGCAGAGACAGAAGGATCCCCGAGTACTCTGGCTGGCTAGACCAGGCTAGGGAGCTTTGGATGCAGTGAGAGACTCTGTCTCAAAAACTAACTAAGGTAGACAGTGGCTGGGAAAACACTCAAGCACATGCACCCACACATGTGAACATGCAAACACACATGGATGATAGAGATGACCACAGCCCTGAGAGGAGCTGGGAGCCTGGGACCACGGGCAGCTCACTGCTCAGAGCATAACAGTGAAGAGACAGAAAACAGAAAGGAGAAAAATTCAAACCCCTAGAGCTTCAAAGGGCTCCCTCTGGAATATATGTTCCCTGCCACCTCCTGCCTGTCTTTCAGTCTGAAGAAGGCCCAGCCTATCTGCACTTCTGTAGTGGATGAAGATTTGGAATGCATCAATTCTCATCAGAGCCCAGTGACCTGAGGCTCCAAGTCCTTCTGCTGTGCAGAGGTGACTGATGGGGTTGCAGCCTAAGGCTGGGCAAAAGAGGCCAGCACCAATAGAGTCACACCAGAAGTGTGGAGGTGGGGGAGGGGGCAAGTCCCACACTGAGGGCTCCAGCCACAAAGCTGGAGTCAGTCTGCTTTCACAAAGTAAGACTTTCCAAAGCTGAAGTAAAAACCAACTTTAAATACAAACAGCAATAGAAAGTATCCATAGAGAAGCTCAGTAAGAAAACACGGAAGCCTCACTACACCCTCAAATGAGTCAGTCGGGGGAACGGGGCGATGGTCAGTGAGGCAGAGCATCTGCTACACATGAAGGACAGCCCGAGTCCAGTCCTCAGCACCAGTGTAAAAAGCTAGGCAAGGCTACACACCCCTGTGACCCCAGTGCTGTGGGGTGCCAACTGGAGGACCACTGGGGCTTGCTGGCTGTCTATGTACTCAGTCAAATACCATCTCAAGGGAAGAAGGCAGACAGCTATGGAGTAGGACACCCAACTTCCTCCTCTAGCTTCTGGACACACCCATGTGCACACATATACCACACACAAACAAACACCACCACCCCACACATCACACTATACATACACCACATACACCCTGAAACAGAGCCCCCACATACATCACATACCATACACACACACACACACACACACACACACACAACTCACATCACACACCACATGTACACACCTCCCCCACACACATATTCGACATGAACACCCACCCGAACACACATATACCCACCTCCTACACACACACCTCCCACACACAGAAGAAAGATTAAAAAACAAAACAAATTCCAGGCAGTGTTGGCACACACCTTTAATCCTTGCACTTGGGAGGCAGAGACAGGCAGATCAAACTCCAGGCCACCTGGTCTATGTGTTTCATGGAGTTCCAAGCCGGCTAGGGCTTCATAGAGAGACCCTGTCTCAAACAAAAACAAACAACAACCACAAACCCTTAAAGTTAGGTTGAGTGGTAGGATAATGCCCCTGAGCAGGCTAACAGGTTACTGGATTCCAGGACGGGAAAAGGTGTTGCAGAAAATATGTATGAGGAAACAGAAAACAGGTAAAATATTTTTAAGACCCAGGAATATGTCTATAAACCCAGCCTACAAGTTCTAGGTCAGCCAAGGCTACATAGCAAGTAAGCTATGTATTACTTAAAACAAACAAAAGAAAAGCTTTCAAATTTTCTAGTTACAAACACTCAAATCAAAAATCTCATGTTTCCACTCTGGAAAGACTCTTCATACAACTCCAGACCTATTCGGATAATCACTGCTTACAGTCATTTGGTTAGCTACTTGAATTCTACCTGAAAACTAAATTCTCATGGTCCATGGAATTTAACACATGGCTCCCAAGAATTATTAGGCGAGGGTGTATGTGTGCATGCGCGCCTAAGTGTCAACCCTCATTTGAGAGTTTGCACACAGGTGGTGGGGTGTGGCAACAAGTGGAGGGAAGGCTTTTTGAAGTTATAAATTATAAATTCAGGCTGGAGAGATGGCTCTGACTGCTCTTCCAGAGGTCCCTAGTTCAATTCCCAACAACTACATGGTGGCTTACAACCATCTATAATGGGATCCAATGCTCTCTTCTGGCATGCAGGCATACATGCAGACAGATATATATAAAAAATACCTAAATAAAAAAGAAAAAATTATAAGAATTCTCTGCTCTGCCCTAAGTGTGAGAGCAGCAAATCCAGGGCCAGCCTGGGCTACATAATGAATTCAGTGCTGTTGTGTTCTGTGTTACAGAGGGGATATAGACTGCCTTAAACAACAGCAGTAAAAAGCAACAAAAATATCAAATGACTGTTGTGTAGCAGCTTTTTCCAATATTAAAACATTTCATCCAAAACAAAAAATAAACAAAAAACAAAAACCAAAAATATTCCCAGCCGGGCAGTGGTGGCACACACCTTTAATCCCAGCACTTGAGAGGCAGAGGCAGGCAGATTTCTGACTTTGAGGCCAGCCTGGTCTACAGAGTGAGTTCCAGGACAGCCAGGGCTATACAGAGAAACCCTGTCTCGAAAAACCAACAAAACAAAACGAAACAAAACAAAACAAAACAAACCCAACAACCAAACCATTCCCATTCCATCCTTCAGAGAAGAGGAAGGTAAATAAAATAGCTTCAGGAAGTCCCTGAAACCAACAAGATTCACTAGGCCTCTTCCTGCTGAAGTAAACAAAGCAGCAAAGACTCAAACAAGCCAATCTGAAAACAAGACTCTCAGGCAAGCAGAGACGAAGAGTCTCATGCAGAGTCTCAGACCAGACCAGCTGCCAGGAGAAACAGAAACCAGCTGAGATGCTTAGAAGAGGCAGAGAATAGCTAACCTCACTTCTCAGTGTATT